GGTATAGATATAGATATAGATATAGATATAGATATAGATATAGATATAGATATAGATATAGATATAGATATAGATATAGATATAGATATAGATATAGATGATATATAGAGAGATAGAGATAGATTAGATAGAGATAGAGATTATATAGATGAGATAGATATATAGATATAGATAATAGAGATGAGAGAGAGACAGAGATAGAGATAGATATAGATGCAGATACAGATATAGATATATAGATATAGATGATAGAGATAGAGCCAGAGAGAGAGACAGACATAGATATAGATACAGATATAGATAGATACATACATAACTACGTAGATAGATACATAAATGAAAGATAAATAGATGATAGAGATAGAGATACCGCTACAGATATAGATACAGATAGATACATACATAGCTACTTAGATAGATGCATAAATGATTGATAGATATAGATATATAGAGAGATACATAAATGATAGTAGATTTAGAGATAGAGAAAGAAATAGAGATAGAGATATAGGGATGGATATAGATATATAGATGATAGATAATAGATATGATTGATAGATAGATAGATGATTGCTAAATACATAGATAAGAGATAGATGATAGATAGATAGATATGATAGATAATAGATAAAAGAGAGATAATAGTAGGTACATACAGACAATTGAATAGATCGCAATTAAAGATTATACCAAGTACTACGAAAAACACGCCACCCACGTTTTCGTAATCGTTCCTAAACCAAATCGAGGCCGAGTCTCCACTCCTTTCACGACCTCCTCCCCTTAACCTCGTCCGCATATCGACGACACACCCTCCCCCCTTCCCAGTGACCAGTTCTTAGACATCTCCCCCTCCAGGCCCTCCAGCGGGACCCACACACACACTCCCATCCACCCCGGGGCCTTTTGTCTTCTTCGATCTGGAACCTTCTGAGTGAGGTTCGCCCAGACCCGAGAAGAGCCGGGAACCGGCGGACCTCACCCCAGGCCTGAGCCTCCGAGCCCAGGGGAGCGCCGCCTTTGAAGCTACCCGCCGCCGGCCTCCGGCCCTTCGCCTTTAATAAATTTAATGAACGTTGATGGTGGCTGGGGAAAAGAGCAGGATCGGGCAATGGCCTTTCAGCGCCCGGCCTCAGACAACCAGAGGTCCCCAAAGGCGAGAGGCCTCGTGTGGGGACTGTGAGCCCTCTGGGCGCCCCTGCACTAATCCGGCCACTTCAGAGCAGAGACCCCCGCTTGGCGAGGCGCACCCCTCCCTGGACGTGGCAGAGAGCTGGATGGGAACGGGGTTGGAGAAAGAGAGAGAGTGAGCTCCAGAGAAGGGAAGTGGAGAAAGGACTTGGCATTTCTTCCCAGCTGGACGCGTAAAGGAGGCTGTGTTCTGACGCTGGAACAAACCAGTGTCCGGGAAGGTCCAGGGCGCGCGCTCGCCAGCCCCGCCAGGTGGGCTGGCCACAGCCTTACCTGCACGCGGGCCTCCGACAGCCCCAGGCGCTGACTCAGTTCCTCGCGCATGAAAGCGTCCGGGTAGTGCGTCTCATCAAACAGCCGTTCCAGCTCATTCAACTGCTCCAGCGTGAAGTTGGTCCGGCTGCGCCGCTGTTTCAGCTTCGTCTGCCCGTCTTCGTCCTCGGATTTCACCTCGTCGCGCTTGTCCTTGCACTCGTAGAGGCCTGGAAGGGTGGAGGAAGCGAGCAGGATTACGGTGACTGACGCCCTGCAGGCAAGCTCCCTGCCGCCTGGTGTCCAAGTGTGGGCGTCCAAGAGCGCCTGGTGTCCAAGTGCACGCCTCGAAGGCCTTCCGAGAGCCCCAACCCCATCCTGGTAACTCATTCTTATCTGTCCACCTGGAATGAAGGGACCCTCGTCCCCACATGCGCCCAGACGCACAGTCCCCCGGTGTCCACTTGATCCAACCAAGTTAGACACGCGTTCGCGCCCTACGTCCACCCCTCGCGCGCGGGGCGGCGTGTATCTTGGCCTCACTCCCAACAATTACCACAATTATCCATTTCGTAGATGTTGACATAACCCCTTTTTTTTAATACAAAGAATGGAGTTAGATATGAATTTTTTTTTATCAAAATGGATCAGGAAAAATATCCCACCTGTTCCTGAGTATCCAGGTCCCCAAGGACGTAAGGCGAGCCCAGGACGAGCTGGGGCATCAGATTCAGGGGGTCAGGGGAAGAGGGGGTGTCGAGGGACCCCCTCCTCCCCCGCACATCTCAGTGCGCACCAGCACCACGCTGTGCCCTCCCTTGACCTTTGCATCTACACTCTCCAACTTCACACGCGGGTCCGATCCCTTCTCCCGACTCACCAGCCCACCTGAGGCGCAGGCAGAATCACCTTCTAACCTCAGGGACACTCAGGCCCTCCTCATGTTTGCTGGGCAGAAAGAGGGGACTTGAAACTCTGGTCACTGGGTGTTCATCTACTGATACCCACTCGGTGGGGGCCGTCCTCCCAGAAATGAAGCCACGAAGGTGGGAAGAAGTTGAGAAGAAACTTACACATATACACACACAAAGGCCTCATAATTGCAAGGTCTCTGTTCTTTCTTTTTTGGGGTGGCCAGCAAATGACCTGTGTCCTCGTTAGAACGCCACAGACAGGGGCCAGAGATGGCATTGAAATATACACAAACACACACCACCACCACCACGAATTTCTAGTCTAAACCATCTCAGAAAAGCCTGGAGCGATGCGCCCACAACCTTTACACCCTACAAATCAAACTGCCCCTGAAGGCAATGGGGCCATTGGAACTCACGGTCCTCAGCTTTTCAAACCCGAGCCCCCAGGCCTGCCTGCCTGCCTGCCTCGATGGTGTCTCTCATTGACACTCTCTTGACACCACCCCCAAATTGCTCTCACCCTTGGAGTTCGTCTCCAGGGCTGGGAGAAGGGACAGCCCCACCACCCTGCACTCTTTTCCATCAGCAAATAAGTCGTGTTTTTCTTTCTTTGCAAAGCTACCAAATCCCTTGTAGATCAACACATCTCAATCCAGCTGCCCTGCACGCTGGCCAGAGACCTTTCCCGATGCCCATGTGTCTGGAGACAGCAGCGAAGCCCTCTCTCTGCTCGCCCTTGACCCTTATCCTGCAAACTCCATCCAGCCTCTGAAGCAGGAGGCGTCAGCAGTTGGCTGCCGGCTGTCTCTGGCTCCAGTTTTATTCTTTCACTGGTCATTCTTCTTTCTGGGACTCTGGCCTCCTTGGGTTACCCACAAGGAGCACCCACAAGGACTCTCAGAAAGGACCGCGGGACCAGAAGAAGCGAAGCGGCACGCTGTGAACCAAGCGCAGGCACTCAGAGACATCCTTGAAGGTACCACAGGGCAGAAGGGTCACTGCGGACTAGAGAAAGAGACAGGGCTTGTCTCTCTGCAGTGGACGACTTTGTAGGCATGATGGAGACATGTGAGGGCGGCAGCGGGCAGTGGGACACGGGGAGATGGACGCGCGGGTCCACGCAGCTGGAACTCGATGCTGGAAGCGCCGCTGTGCGCCTCGTTCTGCAACCGCGAGGCCTCGCAAAGACGTCTCCGTGGCCAATGCGCCTGGCTGTCCCACTACGCTGCCCTCATTTCCACACATCCCCAGATTTCTGATTAATCCAGAAAGCCATGCTTCCCTGGCAAGAGCCGAGACCGCCAGTGGAGGAAAGAGAAGCCACCGAGAAGGTGGCTAAAAGCCTCGAGAACTCGCGTTTATGGAACGAGGAGGGGGGGCCCTAAAATGTGTATGAATAGCATCTTCAAAGGGTGTCCCAGAAGGTGGTGGGCAAATTCATTTCCAGGATGTGTGGGTTTGAGTGCTGCTGTTTGCGTGCGCACTGAGCCCCCTGGCACCACTCTGCCCAGTTCCCTAAAGTAAAGTAGCAAAAAGGGCCCCATCTTTTTCAGGTGGAAGAACCAGCTTCGAGTTCCCGGCACTTAGCGCCAAGGGCTCGGAGGAGTTGTGCAACCGAATCTCTAAGGTCTGGACGTCCTGGGATGAAGGCGACCAGCCCCCCTCCCCCTAGGACGGCGCGATACTACATACTAGATACTACCTCGCCAACCTGACATCTAGACCACCTGCGTGTTTCATTAAGACAGCCAGGGTGTCCCCCACCCAAGATGAAGGGTCCTCTTGGGCCAAGCGAAAGTTTTTCAGGGTGGGGGGAAGAGAGAGAGATTCTGGAGACGCGGGTTGCCTCACTGTCCTCCCTCTTCGCTATACGGGGTCAGGCTGTCCGCTGCGTTCCCAGGCCGCGGACGCCCGGGGCTGGGGCGCGCGCTGGGAAAGACTCAGAGCAGGTCTGGAGGCGCGCGTCCTGCTGCCTCTGGACACCGCATCACCGAGCTGGGCTGGGAAGGTGCCTCGGCGGCCACTGCCCCGAGAGCGAAGGTGTCAGGAGGCAGCTCCCCACGCCGCTCGCTCCCCGCCTTCCCTGCCTTTCCACGTCCACCCTGCGCCTTCGCTTTCGTTTTCATTGGAAACGCCTCGCTCTCGAGTGCGCAGGCCTCTCGCCCGCTTCGGGATGGACAAGGAGAAAGAGCACGAGCCTCCTCGGCGCTGAGCGCTCGGGCCTCGCCACACGGAGTGCGGAGAGAGAGGCCCGATCGGCATTTGCCGGGGGTCCTGGGCCCGGCCCCGCCGACAGGGCCTCCCCAGCGGCTCCCCCGTAACCAGTGCCCTCCCTCCGCGCGCTTACCTTCCGAGGCCCTACCCGTTCCGAATTCCTTGAGTTTGTCCTTGTCGTTGTCCACGTGGTCTTTGAACAGATGCACCGGACAGTGGCCGCCCGCGTCCGCCATGTCCTGGAGGTTAGACTCCGAGGTGCCTAGCTCCCGGGAGCGCACGAGTCCGCTCTCCAAAACTTCTCGGTAGGTGATGGAATCCTTTTTGCCGCCGCCTCCTCCTCCTCCGCCGCCGCCGCCGCCCACGCCGGCCTCCTTGGTTTTCTGGTCGAAAGATTTGGAGACAAAAGCCGTAAGTTCTTCCATCGCGGCGGCGGCGGCGGCGACGGCGGGCGCTGCGCTCGCGGGGCTTCTGCGGGGCTGCGCAGGAGGCGCTGGCTGCGAGCCGGGTTGCAGTGGGTCCCGCCGGGGCGGCGAGGACGCAGGGCGCGCAGGCAGGTCCCTCCCGCTGTTATTTATGTCTTTCAAGTGGAGATTTCTCTATTTATACGCGGCTACCTCGCCCAACCCCCAGCGCGCCCTGTCTACAGCAATTACTCCTGGAAGCTCCATACGCCCGGCCCTATCTCGTCCCCCACCTCCGGGCGAGCAATTGGCTTGATTCTCATTTCATCACTGCTTGGCACCCGCGCAACTTGCAGCCGAGAGGTAAAGACCAGATTTTTGAAAAGCGAGGGAGAGGAGAGAGAGAGAGCAGAGACAGACAGCGCGCGCTCCAGCCAAGGCGTCCGCGTCGGGCACAGGCTTCTTCTGCCTTCCCTCAGCCCGTGCTGGACACAAACTCGCCGTGGACTTTATGAAAAGTGACCCTCCTCGCTGGCTGGACAGCCGGCCATGCCACGGTACCCCCACACCCACACCCCCGCCCCCAGCTCGGAGGAAGGACGCGTCGGTGGGCGGCCCTGTGGAGAGACAGGCAGGGAGGTGTTGCGGCCCGCGAAGGAGGCAAGGTGGAGATGTCAGGCTGGAGGAGTGACAGGAAGGCGAATGGGGGACTTGGAAAGGCCCCCCAGAAGAGGCTTGTTTAGGGCGGGCCGTTAGGAACACGGCTCGTGGGATTTTGGAGAGCGCAGAGCGCGCGCCAAGACGCAGCAGAGCTGGAGACGCCACCCGCGCCCCCCACCCCCGGAACTCACAATTCGTAAGCGCCAAGAGTCTAAGAAGGTCTCTGTGCATCTCTCTGGGTTGGGGGGGGTGCAGAGGGGAGCTGTATGGGGTTTTCTTGCCCCCCAGCTTCGGGTCTGGCCACGTTCCTCTCCTGTCTTGTCCCCTTTCCCATCTGTGACAACCTTTGCCTGACTGACTAACCTCTATCTTCAGTGGCAACCTCACACCAACCCCTCTCGGAAGCTCAGAAACAGGGCTTCGTTCAAAGCAGGACCTGCGAACACACCAGCGGAGAATCAAGTCAACGGCCCCCTGCGCCCCCCCCCCCCAGACACGCTCACTTATCCTGTTCCCCTCTCCCAGATCTCATGTTTTTTAGGAAGAGAACAAGGCTTTTGGGGAACAGGAGAGAGGTGGAAAGAGTTATGATTCTCAGAGGAGAGTGTGTGTATGTGTGTGGGGGTGGGTGTCCCCACGGCAGCTTGCATACTCAGCGCTTTGCGCTTTGCAGTCAAAGTGTCCCTGGTCCACACGACAGAGGGACAGTGGGGAGTCCCGTCGCCTGGCATGGGGGGGGGCGCGCCCCCATCACCCACCACGGTAGGGGGTCCACCCCAGGGTGATGGGGGTGCTGGTCTGGGGAGGGGCTGGGGACGGAAGGGCAGAGAGGCAGGGGTGGGACCCACCTGTTCCTCCCCTCCCTGTCACAGCCCTCCTATTCCCTCCCCTCTCCCATCCAGGCCCACTCGCCTCCTCCCCGCCCTGTCTGCCCTATTCCACTCTTTCCTTCTCTTCTCTCCATCTCCACGTCTTCCTTCCTCCTTCCTGTCCGTCCTTCGGTATTTCTTCCCTTTTCCATACACCCCCCCATCTCCCTTTCTCCTTCCACCTCCAGGTTCCCCTCTCGCTCCCAGGGGCGCAGGCAGCCTCCTCCGCGTGCTCTGAGCTCTGAGCCGGCGCCTGAACCAGCGCCCTACCCGGGACCTTAGAAGCGAAGGAGCGAGGCTGCCTTTCTAGCTTTTAGCTCAGGTCTTGGACCCCGCCACGGCCGTGGGCTTCTAAGCAACGCCGAGGCGCATGGATCTGGGCACCTAATTACAAAGAGGCGCATGGATCCGCCACCTAATTACAAATAGTTTCTCAGAGAGGGAGGCAGGCGAGGTAGGGGGGACACGGAGGGCTGTGCCCTCTCGAAGGAATGGGTGGTTGGGGCGCAGGGGCCCTGGAGTCTGTGGTCAGGGGCTCAGGGGCCCAGACTTCTGGGTCCTCCCTCAGCTGCTTTCGCTCCTCCTACTCGACAGGGGCCTGGTCTTGGAAGGGCCTGGGGGAAGCTGGAAATAGCCAGAGAGGCAGCTGAGAGTGATGGGAAGGGAGAGAGAGAGTGAGACAGAGATAAGGAGAGAGAGAGACACTCAGAGAGATACAGAGAGATACACAGAGCGGGGCGGGGAGGGAGAGAGACAGACTCAGAGAGAAACAGAAAGAGACACAGGAGGGAGAGACAGACACAGGAAGACAGAGACATAGACAGACACACACACACACAGACATAGAGAGAGATATGCAGAGAGAGACACACACACACAAACACAGAGGGAGAACGAGAGTGACACAGAGAAAGGAGGAGAGAGAGACACAGAGAGGGACACACACAGAGAGACAGGAAGACAGACACACACGGAGACACACAGACAGAGATAGACAGAGAGAGAGAGAAACAGAGAGAGACCCACACAGAGAGACAGGAAGACAGACACACACAAAGAGAGAGACAGAGACACAGAGAGAGAGAGATGCAGAGATAGGGAGAGGGACACAGAGAGACAGAGAGAGACACACAGAGGGGATGAGATGGGCACCCAGACAGAGGAAGACAAAGAGAGAGAGACACAGAGAAAGAGACAGCAGAGAGTGAGAGAGAGGAGAGAGACAGAGACATAGAGAGAGAGACAAGCACAGAAAGAGACAGCAGAGAGTGAAAGAGAGAGAGGAGACAGAGACACACACAGAGAGACATAGACAGAGAGTGAGAGAGATAGGAGAAAGACAGAGACACAGAGAGGGAGAGACAGAAAGAGACAGAGAGTGAAAAAGAGAGAGGAGAGAGACAGAGCTGACAGAGAGAGAGAGAGACAGTGAGTGAAAGAGACAGAGAGAGAGAGAGACAGGAGACACACACACACACACACAGAGACACGCATAGAAAGAGACAGCAGAGAGTGAAAAAGAGAGAGACAGAGACACAGAGAGAGAAGAGAGAGAGAAAGGAGAGAGAGAAGAGAGACAGAGAGTGAAAGAGAGAGACACACACACAGAAAGAGACGGAGTGAAAGAGAGAGAGGAGAGAGAGAGAGAGTGAAAGAGAGAGAGAGGAGAGAGACAGAGACACACAAGGAGAGAGACAGAGACAGAGAGTGAAAGAGAGAGAGACAGAAAGAGACAGAGAGAAGAGACACAGAAAGAGGTAGAGAGTGAAAGACAGAGGAGAGAGACAGAGACACAGAGAGAGAGAGAGAGAGAAAGAGACAGAGTGAAAGAGAGAGAGGAGAGAGACAGAGACACAGAGAGAGAGACACACACACACAGAGGGGGAGAGACAGACACAGAGACAAAGAGATAGGAAGACAGAGATAATCACCCACACAGAGGAGGACTCAGTGAGAGAAAGAGAGAAGAAGAGAGAGGGGTATAGAATAGGGAGACACACAGAGAGAGACAGAGACACACAGAGAGAAGTAGAGACACAGAGAGAGAGATGGAGACCGGGAAAGAGAGCTAGACAGAGACATGCGTGCTCAGAGAAGACAGAAGCACAAAGAGACACAGATGGGGAGAGACAGACACACATAGACATGGACAGAGACAGGAAGACTGAGAGAGACACACACTGGGAGGGAGGGAGAGAGAGACAGAGAGAGGAAGATAGACACAGAGACAGAGAAAAGGACAGACACATGCACAGAGAAGAGGCAGGTGCCCAGAGAGAGACACAGAAAGGGAGAGACAGAGACATGAAGAGACAGGAAGACAGAGAGATAGAGAGACAGAGGGAGAGAGACAGACAGAAGACAGAGACACACTGAAGACATACAGAGACATAGAGAAGAGACAGTGAGAGACAGAGACATGGGCAGAGATGGGAAGGCAGAGAGATAGAGAGACACACACAGAGGAAGACAGAGTGAGACAGACAGACAGAAAACAGAGACACACAGAAGACAGACAGAGACACAGGAGGAAAGACAATGAGAGAGACAGACATGGGTAGAAATAGGAAGACAGAGATAGAGACAGACAGAGGAAAGACAGACAGACAGAAGACAGAGACACACAGAAGACAGACAGAGACCCAGAGGAGACACTGAGAGTGAGAGAGACAGACAGACAGACAGACGTGGGCAGAAATAGGAAGACAGAGATAGAGACAGAGGAGGGACAGAGAGTGAGAGAGACAGACAGACAGAAGACAGATACACAGGAGACAGAGACACAGAGGAGACAGGATTGAAAGAGACAGACAGACAGAGACACAGAGGAGGAGAGACAGTAAGAGAGACAGACAGACAGACAGACATGGGCAGACATAGGAAGACAGAGAGATAGAGACAGACAGAGGAGGAGACAGGGTTAGAGAGAGGGACAGACAGACACACAGAGGAGGAGAGACAGAGAGTGAGACAGACAGAAGACAGACAGAGACATAGAGGAGACGCTGAAAGTGAGAGAGACAGAGACAGACAGACAGACATGGGCAGAAATAGGAAGACAGTGAGATAGAGACAGACAGAGGAGGAGAGACATAGAGTGAGAGAGACAGACAGACAGAAGACAGAGACACACCGAAAACAGAGACACAGGAGACACTGAGAGTTAGACAGACAGACAGACAGAGACACACAGAAGACAGAGATATAGAGGAGGAGAGACAGTGAGACACAGACATGGGCAGAGATAGGAAGACAGAGACATAGAAAGACAGTCACAGAGGGGGACAAACAGTGAGAGAGACAGACAGACAGAAGACAGAGACACACAGAAGACAGAGACACAGAGGAAGAGACTGAGATTGAGAGACATAGACAGACAGAAGACAGTCACACAGGAGACAGAGACAGAGAGGAGGGGACAGAGATTGAAAGAGACAGACAGACAGACAGAGACACACATAAGACAGAGATATAGAGGAGGAGAGACCATGA